GATCATCAACAAATTAAAATTAATCGATTAATTGATTTCTTAAAACATGCTTTTAACGCCAGATTTACGCAGATTCTTTAAGGCAACATATTATCAATAAAATACATGTAATCAACTCCACATAAAAAACTTTAAAATCTGGTACCCTAGGCTTTGATACCACTATTAGGAAATGATCCATTGAGGCAGCGGAAAACAAAAACCATAATAACAAGGATCGTTCCCATCGAAACAAGATCAGGGTACAATTTTATAGTTTATATCAAAATAGAATCAGCAGAAAACTAATATAGAGTTAGTTAAGAAACCATACATGTTAGAGGCTCCTCCAAGTTGCCTCAAATGTATTTTGCTACCGACTCAAGTGTGATCGAACCGACGTAGTCCACATAAAGACAATCACAAGGAACTAAAGAGGGATTTGCTAGATCCTTTTTAGCCTTAAGAAAAAAGAAGAAAAATTAAAGAAAAACTTTGATTCTTAGCTAAACCAAATTGGCGTGGGAGAGTGTTTTTGGGGCTGTGTATTTTCCTTTTACAATGAAAAGAATGAATTAAAAATTATCTCTTTACAACTAAACTTTTCTTTTATAGTGATATTTTAATTGCCCTATTCCCATATGGAATAGGCTTGGGCTCCAACCCAAACACCCCTTGTTTCCAAACACTCAATTATATTTATTTCAATTCATCATTATCTCATTAAAATCAATTAATATATATTAATATATATATTACATTTAACAATAATGATAATTTATTTAAATATATGCTAACACATATTTAAATGTAATTTCACTTATTTAATTTTTTTAACAAATTAAATAAAATGCTACGACCTCAACAAATTTAATTGCATTGTGAAATTACCAAAATACCCTTTCGCCTAAAAAGACAAAAACGCCCTTCTTTCTTCCTGAGTCTTAAATTATCTTCTATGTGTGTGACCCATAGGCTTCTCATCATACCGGTAGTGTATAGTATCATGATTAACACCAATTAATCGTCTCTTTAATACACAGACCAAGATTGGCCCCTAGTAAGGCATCATGACCACCCGATAGATTCGGATTCAGCAAAGTAGCTACCTGTCAACGATATGGTTATCGTACAATTCGATCTTTTCATCATGCGTTATATCGACAAGATGAAGGCATCGAAGGTTGATTCAGTTTTTGGACCAATGACTTGTATTATAAACTAGATAGAGTAACAACTCAATCCCACTGTGGCCACAGTTTTAATGTCATTGCCATATACTGAATTACGCCGTGAGATAACTTCTCCCATACTTGGGAGTGATGAATCCTTTGTCTATCCACCATAGTCTTGATACACTCCTTGATGCAGCCAATCACCACTGTATTGACAGCTCTGAAAAGAACTGCGTTAGGCTAGTGTCAAACTACACCAATCGATGCACAAGGCATTCCGGTGATCTCAAGTCTAAGGATCACATGCACCAACATTCGTTAGAGGATTTGTTCCATAGACACTGGGATTACCATCCATGTGGAATCCTTTGGGGGGTTAGTCCAGTGAACTTGCTGCGGTGTATTCGCCTACAGCAAGCACCTATGTGTTGCACCAGGTTGTCACCAAACAACCTTGACAAGTGAGATCAGTCACTGCCTTTCGATAAGGTCGTTCAACACTATGATAGCCTTACCGTATTATCTGTGCCCTTACTTCAGAATATTATTGGGGCTACGGATGTTTCTAGAATGGCCACCATATATGCTCATTGGGGGAAGCAGCCAGGAATTATGAGTTGAAAATATCCATTATAGTATGTTGCCTTCCTTCTACGGAGTTCCTAATGAAGATGCTTTGATGTTCATAAGAAATTTTTATGCTACCGTGAAAACTTTTCCATTGCAAGGACTCAATTAGGATCAATTAAGGATGAGATGGTTTCCCTAAACCTTGAAGGATAAAGCTAAAGCTTGGTTTATGACTCTTCGACCTGGTTCATTGACTACATGGGAGGCAGTTTACATTAAATTCATGGGCAAATTTTACTCTCATCAAAAGACTACTGACTTGAGGACCAAGATTGAGACATTTTCTCAAATGGAAGGAGAGCCTTTTAATGAGGCATGGGACATATTTAAATTGCTTCTCATCCAATGTCCTCACCATATTACCTGCTTCAATTCCAAAATCAGTTTTTCTACGATGGATTGAAACAACAATGTCAATATGTGGTGGACAACGCTGCTGGTGGAGCAATGGGTGAGAAAACTGTTGCAGAAACATTTTAGCTATACAAGATGTTGGGTGCTAATTCCCAACAAAAGAGTGTGAAAGGAAGAAGATTTGGAGTACACGAATTAAGCTCCAACAGTGAGATGGCTATGTAACTTGCTGAATTGACTAAGCAAGTCAAACTTCTAACTACCAAAAATACAACGAATAATGAGGCATGTGGTGTTTGTGGTGTTTCCGTGCATGGTGCTAACACTTGTTCTTTGTCTTATGACTCTTATGCAGGGAATGAACAAGAACAAGCCAATTTGATGGAGTCTTTCCAACCTAAGCCTAGGAATGATCCTTATTCAAACACTTGTAATCTTGGGTGGAGAAATCATCCTAATTTCTCTTGGAAGACTAATAATAATCCTGCCTTTACCCAAAACCCAAGGCCTAGTCAATTTCCAAACCAAGCCATACCACCTAACTGTTAGCAAATCAATGAGCAGAGGCAACGGAAAAAAAAAAATTTTACCTATCAATTACTCTGATTTCGCCAAGATCAGGGTCTGATATATATATATATACTTAAATTGAAATAATAAAGATCCATGCAAAGATTAGATTATTCTAGCGTTTGGAGGCTCCATCAATATCTCTGAACGCAATTTCGATACCGATTCGAGAATAGAATCAAACTCACATTGTCCACACGAAGACAGTACATCAAAGACCATGAATTGATTTTGCTAGAATCAATTCTTGGCTTTAAGAGATCAAGAAACTTCGTAGAAAGAATGTAGAGAAAAGAAGAGAAAATTTTCTATCCACAAAAACTCTCCACGGCTCAAATGAGACTTAGGTGAATAATACCCAATTTTGCTTCATTTATATAATGAGGCAAATTTTCATTCCACCCCCATAGTTTAGCAACAACCTAACTTAGGTAGAATTGCATATTAGTCCCTATTTAATTATTTAGTTAAATATTGATATTAACTTCAATAATTAAATTTGTAATTTTGCTAAATTACTCCAATAATAAAATTGGACACAAGCTACAACCTCAGTAAATTTAATTACACAGCAAAATTACCAATATGTCCATTCGTCTGAAAGACGAATATGCCCTTCCAAAATTTGTCATCCTTAAACCGCCTCTTAAGTGTATGGCCCGTAGGATCCTCATTATATCGGTAGTGAGTAGTATCGCAATTGACACTAATCAATCATCTCACTATACACAAACCAAGATTGGCCCCTAGCAAGGCATCATGGCCACCCGATAGATTCGAATTCAGTGAAATAGCTATTTATCAACGATATGGTTATCGTGCAATCAAATCCTTTTGTCATATATTATCTCAACGAGACTGAGGTATAGAAATAGTGTCAACCTTAGATATCCTTGATACCTTTGTATTCAGTAACTGGACCAATGACCGGAATAATAAAACGGATTGGACAACAACTCAATCCCACTGTGGCCACAACTTTAGTGTCATTGCCATATACTGAATTGCGCCGTAAGATAACTTCTCCCACACCTAGGAGTGATGAATCCTCTATCGATCCACCATAGTCTTGATACACTCCTTGATGTAGTCAATCACTATCATATTGATAGTTCTAATAGAACTACGTTGGGCTAATGTCAAACTACACCAATCGGTGCACAAGGTGCTCCAGTGATCTCAAGCCTAAGGATCACATGCATCACCATTCGTTAGAGGATTTGTTCCATAGACACTGGGGTTACCATCTATATGGAATCCTCTGGTGGGTCAGTCCAGTGAACTTGCCTATAGCAAGCACCCATGTGTTGCACCAAGTTGTCAGCAAACAACCTTGACTGGTGAGATCAGTCAGACAGTCACTGCCTTTTGACAGGGTCGTTCAATACTATGATAGTCTTACCACATTATCTGTGTCCTTAGTCAAAATAATACTGGGGCTACAAACATTTCTATAATGGCCACCATATGTGATCATAGGGTTCTCACTATCAAGATTTGAAACACTCGATACTCTCGTCACGGTTCTACCATCCTAAGGACATATATCAATACATACAACTATCATTTACATGATATAGTAGAAAATGCCTTTTATTGATTAGTAAACATTATTACAAAGAGTTAATTCTATAATAATTGATTGGCTCTAGGGCACTTACTCTAACACTAACCAACCTAGAAATCCAACCTTGGAAGAAAGCTTGAATGCCTTTATTCAAGTTAATAGAGAAAATCAAGAGAGAAATAATCAAAGTTTGGATTTTCTAGAAGCATCTATGAAGAGGGTAGATGTGCAAGTTGGGGAAACTTGTGAGTCAACTACAAGGACATCAACAAGGGAAGTTGCCTAGTCAACTCGAGCAAGCGAAGGCTATTGCAGTCCTTCGAAGTGGTAAGATTTTAAATAAAGATTTTGATAATAAAAATTATAATGACTTACCACATGATGCAGAAAATTGGGATGAGGAGCATGATAGACAAGAAAAACCTAAGGAAGTGCATGCAAAGGATGTTCAATCATCCAAGCCAATCAACAAGGATGAAGGAACAAAGGATTTCTCCTCACCAACACTCTATAAGGTAACGGAGCCTTATAGACCTCCAATTCCTTATCAAAATCGACTAAAGGACAATAAACATGATAAACAATTTTCTGAAATTTTTTATATGCTTTCTAAAGTTAACATTAACTTGCCTCTTTTGGATGTTATCAGGAATATGCCTTCTTATGCAAAGTTTTTCAAGTAACTCAACACCAAAAAAAGGAGATATGAGAAGAAGGAGAAAGTCATGGTTTCAAAAGTTGCTTGTGCGGTGCTCCAACAAAACTTGCCTCTTAAATTGAAAGATCCTGCAAGTTTTAACATAAACATCACCATGGGAGATAAGAAAATTGCGAAAGCTATGCTAGACTTGGGTGCGAGTATCAATATAATGCCTTATTCAATATACTTGCAACTAGGTTTGAGTGAGCTTAAGTCAATAACTATGACCCTTCAACTTGCGAATAGATCGGTCAAATATCCGAAGGGGATGGTTGAGGATTTGTTGGTGCAAGTTGACAAGCTGATTGTTCCCGTCGACTTGGTGGTTTTGGAGATGGAAGAAATACCTTCGAAGAACAAGAAGCATACAATTTTTCTTGGTAGACCATTCATGGCAACAACCAAGACAATTATAGATGTCCATAAAGGGAAGTTAACCATGACAGTCTGGCGAGAGACTATTGAATTTAAAGTGTTTGGTTCTCTACCTATTCCTTATACTTTTGCTTATGATGAGTGTTCTTTTATTGATTGTGTGGACTCACTTGTTTATGACACTTATTTGTAGGAGAAGATAAAAGATAAGCTTGAAGCTGCACTAACACTTGATAGGGTAGAGGGAACACTTGTTGAGGAAACTAAAGGATTCCATGAGATACTAGATAGAGCAATTCCTGTTTTACCATAATAAAAGTCTAGTAAACCTTTAGAGTTACCAACATCCCCACATAGGGACGAGCCTAATCCATCTAAGCTAGATCTTAAAGAGTTACCTAAGCACCTTAAATATGTATTTTTGGGAGAGGGAGATACATATTCTATCATAATTTCAGCAAACTTGACCAAAACCCAAGAAAAGTGACCAGTAAGGGAGCTTAGTAGACTTAAGAAAGCTATAGGTTGGAGCATAAGTGATTTAGGGGTATTATTCCTGTGATGTGCATGCATAAGATAATTTTAGAGGATGATGCCAAACCTATTAGAGATGCCCAAATGAGACTAAACCCTAACATGCAAGAGGTAGTGAAAAAGGAAATTTTAAGACTTTTAGACGTATGAGTAATTTATCTTATCTCTGACAGTAAGCGAGTTAGTCCCGTTCATGTAGTACCTAAAAAATCAGGCATTACTTTGGTGAAAAATGAGAATAATGAGTTAGTGCCTACTAGGGTGGAGAATGTGCATTGACAATAGGAAACTAAACGCTGACACTAAAAAAGACCATTTTCCACTTCTTTTCATTGATCAAATGTTTGAAAGATTAGCAGGACATGAATTTTCCTATTTTCTTCATGGTATTTCAGGTTATTACCAAGTTTCTATTGTGCCGGAAGATCAAGGGAAGACAACGTTCACTCGCCCATTTGGGACGTTTGCCTTTAGAAGGATGCCATTCGGTCTATGCAATGCCGTCGGTACATTCAAAGATGCATGCTGTCAATATTTTCGGATATGGTGGAAAAATTTATCGAGGTCTTTATGGATGACTTTTTAGTCTTTAAAACCTCATTTGATGATTCCTTGCATAAATCGACTCTTGTACTTGAAAGATGCATTGAATTTAATTTAACACTTATTTGGGAAAAGAGTCATTTTATGGTTCAGCATGGCATTGTATTAGGACATGTGATTTCTATTAGGAAACGATCCATTGAAGCAGCAAAAAACAAAAATTAATAATATGATAGATCGTTCCTTAGAACCAAGATCAGGGTACAAAAATTACAGTTTATACATTATAATCGAATATGCAGAAAATCAGTTTAAAGGTTTAGAAACCATACCCACGTTTGGAGGCTCCTCCAACTTGTCTCGGAATGGGTTTCGCTACCGACCCAAGTGTAGGATCGAACCGATGTAGTCCACACGAAGATAATAGTAAGGAACTAAAGAGGGATTTGCTAGACTTAAGAAACAAGAAAGAAAAATCAAAGAATACTTTGATTCTAAGCAAAAAAAGCGATCTGGGGTGGGAGAGTGTTTTAGGGCTAGAAAGTTTTCTTTCAATGAGTGAAATGAAATAATGAAAAATCTAATTCTCTCTCAATTAAACCTTTTCTTTTATAGTGCAAGTTTAATTGCCCTATTCCATTAGGGAATAGGCTTGGACTCCAACCTAAACACCCATTGTTTCCAAACACTCCCATTTAGATATTTTAATTTTATTTATCATTATCTCAATTAAAATCAATTACTATTTATTTAATATATTAACATTTAACATAATGATAATTTATTTAAAATTATGCGAATACATATTTAAACGTAATCTCACTTATTTAATTTTTCTAACAAATTAAATAAAGGCTATGACCTCAGCAAATTTAATTGCACTGTGAAATTACCAAAATACCATTTCGCCTAAAAAGACGAAAACACACTTCTTTCTTTCTGGCTCTTAAATTATCTTCTTTGTGTGTGACCGCTAGGCTCCTCATAATACCAGTAGTGTGTAGTATCGCGATTAACACCAATTAATCGTCTCACTACACACAGACCAAGATTGGCCCCTAGTAAGGCATCATGGCCACTCGATAGATTCGGATTCAGCGAAGCAACTACCTGTCAACAATATGGTTACTGTACAATCTGATCCTTTCATCATCTGTTATCTCGACGAGACTGAGGCATAGAAATAGTGTCAACCTTCGGTTACTCTCGATATTGTGTATTCAGTTACTGGACTAATGGCCTGTATTATAAACTGGATAAAGCAACAACTCAATCCCACTGTGGCCACAGTTTTAGTGTCATTGCCATTTACTGAATTGTGCCGTGAGATAACTTCTCCCATACCTGGGAGTGATGAATCCCCTGTCTATCCACCATAGTCTTGATATACTTCTTGATGTAGCCAATCACCACCGTATTGACAGCTCTAAATAGAACTGCGTTAGGCTAGTGTCAAACTACACCAATCGGTGCACAAGGCGCTTCGGTGATCTCAAGTCTAAGGATCACATGCACCACTATTCATTAGAGGATTTGTTCCATAGACACTGGGGTTACCATCCATATGGAATCCTCTGGTGGGTCAGTCCAGTGAACTTGCCTATAGCAAGCACCCATGTGTTACACTAGGTTGTCACCAAACAACCTTGACAAGTGAGATCAATCACTGCCTTTCGACAGGGTCTTCAACACTATGATAGTCTTACCGTATTATCTGTGCCCTTACTTCAGAATAATACTGGGGCTACGGACGTTTCTAGAATGGCCACCATATGTGCTCATAGGGTTCTCATTATTAAGATTTGAAACACTTGATACCCTCGTCACGGTTCTACCATTCTAAGGACATATATCAATACATACAATGATGATTTACGTGATATAGAATAAAATGCCGTTTATTGATTAATGAACATCATTACAAAGAGTCAATTCTACAATAATTGATTGGCTCTAGGGCATCTACTGTAACAATTTCTAGTAAAGGCATTGAAGTTGATAAAGCAAAAATTGAGTTGATTGCTAAATTGCCAACCCCAACTTCGGTAAAGGGTGTTAGGAGTTTCTTAGGACATGCAGGTTTTTATAGGTGATTCATTAAAGATTTTTCTAAAATAAGTCTCCCATTATGTAACTTGTTGTCTAAAGAAGTTCCTTTCTTGTTTGATGATGATTGCTTGATTGCTTTTAATACCTTGAAAGAGAAATTAACTTCAGCACCTATTATCATGGCACCTAATTGGTCATTGCCCTTTAAAATTATGTGTGATGCATTTGACTATGCTATAAGTAGGCCTGGAAAAACGGGTCAATACCCGCAGGTACCTGTTTTGAAAACAAGTACAGGTAGGGATTTTACAACCTGTTTACATTCGACCCGTACCCAACCCTACCCATTTTCAAAACGGTTGGGTCGGGTACACTTGCGGGTACCTGTATTTTGCAAAAAAAAAAAAAAATATATATTTTGAAAAAAAAACGTAAAATTAAAAATAGTTATAAGGTTTCAAAAAGAAAAACAAAAAAAATCAAAAACTCAACTCTCACATCTCACTCAAGGAGTTGCCACATAACATAACTCACACCTCGATATTAACGTCGCACCGTGCACTAGATGCACGCCTAAGACAATTGGCGCCCTCTCATCAGTTATCTCTGTCACTCCCTAGTCCTTACTCCAACCACCATTGCTTTGATCTCTCATCTTTGTCACTCGACTCGCTCCCAACTCCAAGCACATGACACCTGATGCATGATTTCGTAAACATGCATATGTAGCAAGTGCACTAGTCGCAAAAAGTAATAAAATGATGAATAGAGTATTCTTCTCATGAGGATTGAGTGCTAAGTACCAATTTTCCTAATTTATAACTAATTGAACAAAACAAAATTTTGGATTTGCAAGAGCTACTAAAAACTAAACTAGAACAAAACAGAAGAGACAACTAAATTTAACACAATAAAAACATTTCAACAGCGAAATTCAATTCAAGAAGAGAGGTTAGGGTTTCGAATTCAGCAAGTTACTCCAATTCAAGCTAATAATCCTATTATCTAAGGTTGTAAAATATACCTTCTCAGGCTATAATTCACTACTTATCCCTCTTAAACTTCTGCACCCAACAAATTGAAATTCACTAGTTCAAAGTTTCTTAAGCATGCAGAATCCTATAAAGATTTCATAGATCACGTTTGTCTATCTCTAGTTTTCGCTCAATCTATGGTGTTTATCTCAAGAAGCTAAACATGAATCACTTCTCAGTCTCATCATGCTCAACATTCATTTGATTCAATGACCCAACAATGAAATGCATTAAGAACAAAGATAAACACTTAATCCATGCAATAGAACCCAAAAACAACAAGATATTATAGATTAAATCATTGTAAAAAAAGATCCATCAAAACCCTAACCCAAAAATGAGTTAGTTCATGTTCAAAATGGAAATAAACCTCTAATACATAACAAAATCAGAGTTCAACATCATGAAAGAAGAAAGGGAAAGGAAAACTTCTCCAATTTGGAGACCCAAAATCTTCCAATCTTCTTCTCCTCTCCCTATTTCCTAAAATGTCAACCTCCTTCTCAAAATGAGATAATTTTTTCTTAAATAGTAGCTAAAAACCCTAGGACCCAATACTATAAAAGAAAAACACAGCGTTTTTAAAAAAACTTAAAATTGCAGTTTTTGTTGCGGCGAAGAAAAAATCTCGCCGCGGCATCGACTTAAGTTTAATTGACCCGTGAATCCAGTGGCTAGCTTGCTGCGACAAAGATAAAACCTTGCTACGATGAACTTCTAATCTTCTTTGCTAAATTTATGAGACTACCCTCTGCTTACTTCTTCACTTGAATCTTCGATCTTCTTGATCTTTAATAGGAACAAACTCCGAGGGTGCTTCCAATCAACATTAGAATTTCCCAATCATTTGAATTTCGCTTGATTCTGGGTCCAAAAACTCATTTTTGCTTTGTTTTGCTCTAATTGCATGTTTTGGCCTGAAACATAAAATATGCAGAATTAAGTAACAATTCAGGCACAAAACTCGTAAGAAGTATTCGAAATCCTACAAAAATCGTATAGAAAATAGTATAATCCTAGGGTTATCAAATAC